TATACATTTCTTTGCATAGGTTAGCTTGATAAAAGCTCATGTCAATTAAAAATTTTTAACTCAAAGAGTTAGTGTGAAGCTCATTTGGATGTTACAACGTGAAATAGCCTGACAATAGGATTATGTAAAAATGTTTCTTTCCTCCGTATTTCATATGATACCATGGAGAGTGGTGTGGTCTTTTCCTGGATCCATTAACTCAGCACAATATGTAACTCTCATGCTTTGAAGCAAAGTACTATATGGTAGGGTTATGATTCTTCCAAATGCTCCACCCCCTGCCTCCCTCGACTACTCTGATAGGCACAAGTTGTTTTTTGGATCTCATTAGGTACCACATTGCTGTCTACCTTAGGCTACAGTGTCTGTTGCAGTTTGGCAGTGTCCGTGCTGGGCACAGCTGTCAGCATCTCTTTGCCTTCATTTCAGAGAATCAAATGCTATTGGCAATAGATCAGAAGGCAAGCCAGACATAATTAGGGTTTCTCTTTAGCAAAGAAGAAATAGAAAGATCATCCTCCAGACCTTCCCTCTACCCCAGCTGTTTTGGGGGCAGTTTCTTCATTTCACTGATGAAAAAAAAAATCAGATTTTTTTTCTTTATTTTTTTTTCTATTCCCATGTCCAAGCTCACAGTGGGGGAAATAGAATTGTCCCATTTTTATTACTTTACTTGCTGTTTTAGCACAATACTGTGCTTGAAGTTCGAGTACAAAGAGACAGCTGTTACACAGAAGGCATCTGCCCCGCCTGCTGGGAACACACGCTCCACATCCTTCTCTGAGCCACGGACTGCGAATCAACTTATTATCTTTTATCAAAGGTAAATGGAAGCGGAAGGATTGTCCTCTTCAGTTTTTCAGTTGACTAATGTTTGGCTCATTAATATGATTTGGAATTGTAACGAGAGGATCGGGAGAAGCTGAGATCTGTCTAAAGGCAAAGAGTAGGCTATCCCAGGGTTGCAAAAAATGGACAAGGAGTGGTACCATAAAACATAAAGAGGGATACATATAAAAACCTTTCCAGCACGTTAAAAATATTAAGACAGGGGCTATCAATTCATTAATTACAAATTTAACCATTGGGATGGTTGTGTTCAGTATTCAATGAGATAAATATTTAATCTAAAACTCAAACATTATAATATGTCCTCAACCTAGGTTCATAGATCAACAAGGACAGAAAGTGTTGTGGAGGGGAAAAGATGTTTACCTTCCTGATAGTAATATTCAGACTTTTATATAAACTCTACCTCATGATAATAAATTTGCTAACAAAATCATACTTACAGATTATATTTTTGTGAAATAATTGTTATTAATTTTTTACTTACATATGAATAAGATAATACTTAGAATATTTTAAAGCAACTCACCATCTTTATTGGGAGTTGGATCCAAATCTGTGGGTAAGACCCTAGGTATATCACCTTTATCTTCCTCCTGGACCCATAGAACTCACTATATACAGCCCAGACTCATGAGCAAACGAGAAAAGGCAGAGAACATTAAATGGATCCCATTTAAGCAAATGAATTCAAGATTTAAACTTTGGGCTTCATTATCTCCAACATAATGTCTATACTTGATCTTTTGTTTGTCTGTGGACTCCCCTTTCTCTTTCTTGCAGCTATTGTCTGTACTGCCTTCCATGGAGGTGAGGGAGACTCTTGCAACCTGCCTTAGGGAGTCAAAATACAGTATGTAGAACAATGCAGCCAGGGTGGGTAAATTGGCAAGAACACTCTGTGGCAGCCTTGAGAAAATCATGATAATTTGAAATGAATAAATGATGACAATTAAAAAATTGTCTTATTGTAGCATGCAAGAGTCACAGCTGGGTAAGACTAAAAGGAGGGAGGGGTTTATTAAGTTGGGGGAGGAAGGGAGGGGGATTGGGGTTGAAATGAAAGAACCTCATTATATAAATGTATGAAACTCTCAAACAATAAAACTTCACAAGGAACAATTTGTTGTTGTAAATAAATAGTGATTACTTTCTTGGCTTTTATAATTACTCATACATTTAAATCAAAATTATTGTGGTTTCTAAAATGAATTTTCCTAAAATATTTTCATTTTCTATTATGAAAAATCAAGTCTTTTAAAAAACAGTTTTGAGGAAAAGTGGTCTAGGGTGTTTATTGTGACTTTTGTTTAGAAAAGACACTAGCATCTCTTTTTGAAAAACAATTAAAATATATCACGTTTAATTTTATTGAAAATATGTACTAGAGACTGGATAGCTCAGAGGTCTAGGGTAAAACCAAACACAACAAGAACACACACACACACACACACACACGTACACATGCTCATGCACATACATAAATCAATGAAATGATTCCTAATGATATTCTGCTGCACTCAGATTGGTATCTTGTCCATTTGTCATCAGAGAGGCTTCTACTGGCAGCAGATGGGAGCAGGTACAAAGACTCACAACCAGACATTATGTGGAGAGAGAGCCTAAATGGGAGGTCTCCATTGAGTCCCTCCCCTTAGAGATCAGTGTACTCTGAGCAAGAAGAGGAGGAAAGGTTATAGGAGTCAGAGGGGATGGAGGTCACCAGGAAAACATGGTCCATTGAATCAACTAAGCAGGGCTCACATGGCCTCACAGAACCTGAAGGAGCAGGCACAGGGGCTGCATGGATCTGCACCAGGTCTTCTGCCTGTATGTTATGGCTGATAGCTTAACAGTGAAAGTAGTGTGTCTCTGACTCTTTTGCCTGCTCTGGGGTTGTCTTGTCCAGCCAAGATAGGAGGGCTTTGCCTTATCTTATCGTATCTTGTTCTGTTGTGTTTGAGTATTGTCTCTTGGAACCCTGCTTCTTTCTGAAGAGGAAATGGAGAGGCAGTGAGTCTGCAGGAGAGGAGAGGTGTATTGGGGGGGGGGATCTGGGAGGGATGGAGAGAAGGGAAACCAATCATGATCATGATGTCTTGTAGCAGAGCAGCATAGATTCCTCTCTCATTTGTACCTGCTCCCATCTGCTGCAGGAGGAGGCCTCTCTGATGCCGACTGGACAAGGCATCCATCTATGAGTATAGCAGAATATCATAAGAAATCATTTCACTGATTTTTTGGTGTTTTTGTTTTTTTGTGTATTTGTTTGTTTGCTTTTGGCTCTACCCTCAGTCTCTGAGCTATCTAGCCTCTGGTTCTTGTCTATCTAGGCAGTGTAGGGCATGGGCTCTCTCTTGTGGCTTGGGTCTCAAATCAAACCCAACATTGGTTGGCCACTCCTAGAAGTTCTGAGCCATCAATTGTCTCAGCACATCATGCAGGCAGGACATGTTATAGATGGAGTTGGTTTTTTTTTTTTTTTTTTTTGGTGGGTGGGTTGTTCAGTTTCTTTTTTCATAGCCTGCAGAGTACTTTTTAGCATCAGAGGCTAAAATGTACGGGTGAAGGCTCCAAGCTCGTTCCAGATCAACTTCTCTGTGTTCAGTGAGCTGTGTAGGAGTTGTTCTCGGCAATGGGACACTGATGTCAGTTTTCAGAGAGTGACCTTCTGTCCTAGAATCAGCCTGAGTTGTTTAGGGATCTCCATGGGACCTTGTTGGTCAACAACAACAACAAAAATAGAATACATTCTGCTTATAGTTTTCCCTTCCTTGCCTCTTCCCTGTTCTTACCCACCTCCTCTCACATCTGTCTCTGCCCCTTTCTGTCTCTCATTAGAAAACAAATAGGCTTTCAAGGGATAGCCATAAAATAAAATAAAATTAAATAATTAAATAAAAACAAATATACTAAAAATAAGACAAAGCAAGTAAACAGAAAGAAACGAGCCCAAGAAAAGGCACAAGAAATAGATAAGACATAGAGACCTACTCATTTACACACTCAGGAATTCCATAAAAACACAAAACTGGAAGCCATAATGTTTATGAAAAGGACCAGCATGGTAAAAAGAGATAAAAAAGAATAAAATAAAAAAATTAAAATCAAATGAAGGAGAAGAAGAAGAAGAAGAAGAAGAAGAAGAAGAAGAAGAAGAAGAAGAAATAGAAAAAAGAAAGAAAGAATACCCTGACATAACATATAAGACAAAGAACCTTGAAAGATGTCATTGAGTTCATTTCCTGTTAGGCATCTATTGCTGGGCATCTGGCCTACCTTTAAGAGTAGTTTATTTCCCTAGGGACTCCCTTGGAGAAAACTGAATTTTTATTTTCAAGTGGTTATCAATTGGAGATAGCTTCTTGGGATGGGGGTAATGTGGCATCTATCCACTTCTCTTTTTAGAAACCACTTCTAAAAACTTTCTTCTCTAGAAACCACTGGTGTAGACCTGAGTAGGCCCTCTACATGTTGTCCCAGCCTCTGAGAGTATCTTGTTAGTCCATTCTCTCCCACACTTATGCCTTTGGGGCTGGCTCACCCCCAAGCCCCACATCTAGGGCCAGTTCAACTATGCTGCCCAGGTGAGGTGCAGGGCCTGCTCTCTCTAGTGCTGCAGCTGGCTAGGGTCAGCTCTCTTGCTCTCACTCCCCAAGGGCCAGCTCTCCCATGACGGCCAGGTGAGGACTCGGAGCAGTTCTCCATAGCCCTCAGACATCAGCATGTCTCCAGGTGGCAGTCCAAACTAGAGGTCTCTGCCTGGTCTTTGGTGGTAACAGATCCCTGTTGCTTCAGAGCCACAGACCCTGGCCAGTCCCTCAGTGGCAGCACAGGCCAGGGCTTCACCATGGTCCCAGGTGGCATCACCAGCTACTCAGGCTGTTCCTCACTATCCCCGAGTTTTTGTTCTGCCTCTCTTCATTCTGCCCACATCCTTCTATATTTTTCTCTTCCATTTCTCCACCACTTACTTGCTCCTCTTAGTGATGTCCAGGGTCTCTGAGTGCCATCTCAGGAATGGTCTCAGGAGTGCTGTGCCCTACTCATACATTATGACACTGGGCAGGGATCGTCTCATGGTCTGCCCCCTCCTCAAAGGCCTGCATGGCACCAGACTGATGGTCATCTCAGGCTTGCCTTTTTCAGGGAATGTTAGGTTACTAATCATTTGGATATTCATAGGTCAGAACACTGAGCACGGACATAGCCTCTCTCCTCTCTGTCACCGCCTGACACATATGTGACACAGTAGCCACACCTTCAATGCTTCTAGGGGCAGGCTCAAACTGGTTTTAATAGGAATCAAAGTTATAGGTTGCGCTATTTAAAATTTTTGTGACCCTCTATTTATTTTTTCAGAGTATCTTAGTCACCTGGTACCTCATTTTGCTACTGCCTCTCAGCTTCCCTTTTCTGTTTTAGTGAACTTTATTATCATGTGAGTTTTATTTCATTAATTTATATTCATTTACTTATTTACTTTGTTTCTTGAGATAAGGCCTTTCTGTATATTTTTGGCTCTTCTTGAACTCACTATGTAGACAAGAGAGCTGGGGGCGGGGTCACAGTCTACGCAATGCTACATTGTTTTCCCAGAGTAGTCACCGCCCTTTTGTTTGCTACTGAGTGTCCTTCAAAGGCTGATCATTGTGTTCAATGCCTAGTCTCCAGGGTTGCACTATGGAAGGAGGTGATGACATCTTTAACAAGTAGGGCCCAATAGTACGTTTTTAGGTCACTGAAAATATACTTGAAGGGCACAGTGAGATTCTCTCGCTCTCCTCACTCTTCTTTGTTCCCTAGCTTATGATATATTTGAGTCTGGTCTGCCATATGCTCCTAATAGGATGTGCAGTTCTGCCACAGGCCCAGTGCAATTGATACATCATGGACCGGAACCTTTACAACTGGAACTAAGACAACCCTCTTCTCTTTACCCATCTCAGCGGTTTGTTATAATGGTAGGAGATAGGTCAACAAATCCTCTTAACTACTCGATTCAGGAAAGGAGATATAGACCAAGTCTCTTAATGGCATGAATGTCAAGGACTTTGTGGGCATCTCTTTTGACCCACCACAGTAACATAATTACCTTCCTGAGATGCAGTGCCTCTGTGCAAACGGTGTTGCTCACAGCGTTTCTAGAAGGATTAGAAGTAATCTTTGTCAGTAGTCTGTACACTTATCTTAAAGGACCAGAAAGGAAGTGTTTGTAGGTTTGTGGGCCACTTAACTCTGAGAGAAGTACTTATCTGCTGTATGTGACAGAAGCTATGGACATCAAAGTAATGAATGGCTTTGGGTGTGTTCCAATTGCTTTATTTATGAACACTAACACTTTGAATCTCATGTAATTTTCAGATGCCCTGAAATATCATTCTCCTTTTAAATTCATCCTAAAATAAAAAACGAATTGTCTAGGACATGGGCTGTGCGAAAGCAGGTACCAGATTTGGCCCTTGGGCTATAGCTTGCTGATCTAAGTAGGTGACTTCTCAGAGGACATAGGGCATGTTAGGGGATGAATAATTACACATATGGTCATTACATTCAGCCATTCTCAGAGGCACATTAGAGAGGCAGCTCACTTCCTTGATGGATTTATATTTCTCAAGGGCACAGCTCTCGTATAATTCAACAAAACAAAATAGCGACAGACATTTTAGAGACAATAGATGTGTTTTTGAGTGTCATAGTTTAGTGAAAGATGCGCAGGTACTATCAGCAGAAGCTCAGTTTGTTGTCAAGCTGAACTTTGTGATTAATTGACCTTCATTGGCAGCTAAGGCCTGATCCCAAGCCACAGCGGGGATGTCTCAATGTAAGTTGTTGGGTGTCTACATCCTGCTATAACTGTGATTGGCATGACCACCTTCTCTTATTTCCCTATTACAACACTGCAGTTTTTTCTTCTTGAAGCACTCACAGCTAGTTCTCACAGTTTAATTCTCTGTGCTCTAAAGACAAAACCCAACATCTTTTAGATTCTTATAGAAAAGCTACTAGTGACATGGTTCAGATTTGTTTTTTGTAATCTAAAGTCCTTCAGGATCTACGGGGAGGTCCTCCACTTGTCAGATGTATGATTTTTGACAGTTAGCCTTTTGAAACTTTAAAGTCCTGTAAAAATCATCTGTAAAATCAGGATAAAAATTCTCATCCTATAGTATTATGCTAGTGTTCAATCAGATTATGCCTGTTAAATTTCTGGTATATAATAAATGCTTAATAAACATTTTCTATAGCCACAAATATGGTGAGCCATCTTGAAATTTTCCAGGTTATATATTTGCTGTGATACTTACGGGGTATCTCTTGCTAATTTTGAGTCTAACTTATTTGTCCAGTAGCAACAAAATGTGATATTTTGTCTTTAAAATTTTATGTACAGTTTTATGGAATAATAGAATTTCAGCCATTTATCTTGTTACTATGAAAATAAGTGATTGAAACTATGTATTTATTATGCAGTTGGCACTATTTAGTTACCAGAAGCACTTTCTAGAGGTATTTTAAAAGACAACAATTGGTTGTCTCAGTAGACTAGACTTTCTGGTTGAGTTCTTGAGCATTAATTGTTTTTCAGTGTTGTGGATCCGAGCCAGGGCCTTGTACATGCTAGAGAAGGACTCGGACCCTGAGCTGCACTCCTGTCCTTTAGAATTTGCATTTATGACATGTCCTTAGATGATGTTAATGCCTCTGGCCTGGATTCACTAGAGAATCATTAGTCTAGGTGACCGCCAGTAGTTTTCCTATTTTGGGGTATTAGTGTTCTTTACTTTTGTGCATTCTAGCTCTTAATTATTATGCCAGTCTATGCAGCCAGTGCCAAGCAACAGAAGTGAACTATATAGACAAGACTTCCTGTTCTTTTGGATCTTCCATCCTAAGACTTACAATAGGCAGTACACATGAAGGAAGTAGCATGTACCAGGAGTCTACCAAAGCACTCTGTAAATGTTAGCCTATTGCATTCTTTAGATACCTAATAAAGAGATGTTACAATTACCTTTTTTTTTTCAAATAAGGAAGCTGAAGCACATGGGCTCAGCAATGTGCCCATGGTCCTACTATGCATGGCAGAGTAAGACTTTAACTTAGGTGGTTTTGTTTTAGAGCCATAAATATACACTGACAGTCTATATAAGTGTCTACATAAGACACGGTCAGTGTCTTAGTCCGTTCTGGCTGTTTAATGACAATCCAAAGGTTTCGTGGCTTCAGAAAAACAGAAATTTAGTTCACCTAGTCCTGATCACTGGGACGTCCAAGATCAAGTGGACTTGGCAGACTGAGTGACTGGTAAGAAGGCCTGTCCCCTGCCCCAGATCTCTGCCTTCTTACACAGTGGGGAGGAAGACAGGATAGATCCTAGAATCTCTTTCATGGGAACCAAACCTATCCTATTCATGAGGTTCTGTCCCTGTATTCCATTCTCTGGTAAAGGTCTTATGTTCTAATACCATAACATTGGGACTTAGGACTTCAGTGTATGGATTTTGTGGGAACATAAACAATCAGTGAACATAAAGAGATTTGCTGAAAAAGAAAGCAAGGGGGGAAAAAGAGTGTTTTTTTTTTTCTTTTGTGCTCAACCAATGTGGCCCATCACCATTTGGATACAAAAGAGTAAACTTGAATAAAAAATCCACAGAAAGAAAAAAGAAAAAAAAACCCTTGGAATCAACACAGCTGGAGAATATTTTTCTTTTAAGTTAAAAGCTGTAAACATCTAGGTCTTTTGTCAACGCCCCTAAAAGATAGTTAAAATAAAATTACAGCAATGTTATTTTTAAAAGCGTAGAAAGCCTCTCCGGAAAGCATGAAGTAGGCTGTGAGCGTGGAGGGGACATTACTGTAACTACTCCAACAACATTTTGCATCTGGAAGAGACTTCAGGAGGGAGATACCTTTTCAAGGATCATTCTGTTTAGTTTACACGTTCTGTGTTGTTTGGGTAAAAAATATCTCCAAGATAGACTGTATTTACCTTATGTGAGGCATTCCCTCCTCTACCTCGTCCCTCCTGTTCCTATCCCCACCCACTCCCGGATCACCCACAAAATCTATTCTATTTGATTTGATAAACGCTAGAGTCATCTAAGAGGAGGAAGCCTCAATTGAGAAAATGCCTTCATAAAGCAATAGATAAGCCTTTAGGGCATTTTCTTAATTAGTGGTTGATGTGGGAGAGCCTAGCCAATTTTGGGTGCCACCCTTGAGCTGGTAGTCTGGGATTCAATAAGAAAGCAGGTTGATCAAGCTAAGAGGAGAAAGCCAATAACCAGCACCCCTCCAGCCCTGTTTGAGTTCCTGTCTTGACTTTTAGACTACGGTGTGAGCCAAATAATCCCTTTGCTTCTCAAGTTGCTTTTGGTGGTGGTGCTTCATTACAGCATTATTGGCCCTGATTGAGACAATAAGTGTCTAGCAAAATGCCTGGAACAGGGTAAGTGCCTGACATAAGTATAGCTTTTATTTTAAAATTTAAGTGAAAACAACCTTATCTAAAAGATAATACAATATAGGTAATTATGTAGTTGTATCTTTACCCTCCCTCACTCATTTTTATATTTTCATTTTCAAGCTTTGCTAAATCAAGGGAAGCATTTCTAACAAGTTCAGGTACAAGCTTTCTCTCTGTATTTTGTTTTTCTTTACATTTTTCTTTATTTTTATCTTATATTGGTGAATGTTTGTCTTCACATATGATGTGCTGTATGTATGCCTGTTGCTTGCAGAAGCCAGAAGAGGGCATTAGTGTTTCTTGGAACTTTAGTTAATGATGATTGTGAGCCAGCATGTAGGTGATGGGAACTGAACCCAGTCCTCTACAAGAACAGAACATTCTCTTAACTGTTGGGCCATCTCTCCAGATTCCTCTCTTTTAGTATTGATAGTTAGTTTTCTTAACAAATAATTTACTGGTTGTTTTTCTTTTTTGGGGTAGGGTTAGTTATTGATTCTTATTTTTCTACATTACAAGGATTACCTTGAACCTAGACTTCAGTTCTCATTAAGCCTTTGTTGAGCCCCGTCTTTTACCACACAATGAGTGAACAGTCTGGTTCTAAATTGAGAGAATCTTCAAACAAATGTGACTGTGTGATCAGCAAAGTGCCTTACTTCTCCCACAAATGAAGAAAATTAATTTGAACACTTTGCTACAAAAATAGCATCTGCCTTGTGTTTTTGAAACTTTTGACTGGTTATTCTACATCCAGATTGTTCATTCTTTGTTTTCACGGATCTTTTGTAGAAATGCTTGTGTAGAGTA